TCCGTTTCAGCACTGTTTAAGTCAACAGAAGTTTCCCTGCAGTTTATGCCAGCTGCAACACCAGGACCTAGATGCAAAAAAAAAAAATCAAAAAAAATCCAGGACAATGCTGGAAAAGAGCTATTTGACAGGCATGTTCACCGACATCATCCCTGCCATCTTCTGGAAGTATTATCCATGCTTTATCTGGGATAACTGACGCTACTTCTGATGTGATAAAATGACTAAGAAGTACATAGACACAGATCTTTGTAGTGTTCTTTTCATTCAGTCATGGGATGTAGTCACAATTCTAAATATTTAAAATGAAGGAAGGAACACAATCCATTGATCTAATGAAATCTGCCAAGGAAATTCAAGCAAATATAATTATTAGTGCTGAAGACAAGCCAAGATTCCTGCCAGTCTAAAAAATGCCACAGAATCTTGTGCTGCTTTTAGAAGCAGTTTGTTTTGTGACAGGCAAAATGACTCAGAAACGTTATTTTTTGTAGTCACAAACACGCACAGCATCTAACAGAAGAGCCTAAAACACACAGCAGAGTTTCCGTCTTGCATTCGTGCTCTCGGGGTTTGACGCTTCTAGAAAAGATGGGAAAAACCTCCTGTTCGTCATCGCTCCTTGTGCACCGCCCAGGGACAGCCCCCTTGGCTCAGCTCCTGAGCAAGGCCAGCCACGCCACACCCAGGAGTCACTGAGTGATGGGATCTGACACTGATTCTCATCCTGCCACGTGCCCAAGACCTTCAGTTTACATAGAACATTTCTCTCCATCCTTATTTTTTTTGTTTCTGTGGTTCCCAGGTGAGAGTACTAAGGAAGGCAGTGAGGAGAAACCGGGATGCTTCAGAGTGAGTTGCCAGTCTTGTTTCTTTCATAACCCTTCCATTTCAGACCTTTGATGCTAGAGACAATCCTGGCTGCCAGTCTGTATCTGGCTGTATTAAGATGACTCCTTTTATTCCTTTGACATCAAGACCTCGGTGGTATTCACTTATAAATAGTATCTGCTGTCACATTAGCTTTGCCGCCTCAGTAATTCCAAACTTAATAAACGATGGTGTTGTCTTTAATGCATTGAAACTACTTTGTTGTACTGTCCATGCACCTGACAGAATGCAGGTGCCTTGGCCATGAAAGCTGAAGCTAAACAGGTGCAGTCTGGAGCACGCTGAAGGCCTGGAGAAATTCCTCCAAGATGTCAGTGCGCTCAGGTCTTTGCGACTCCGGTGAGTCTCACCAACAGCCAGGAAGGAGCGCTTCAGAGGAGTGATCTGCACAACAGCAGTATTAGGGCTGTGACAGAAAGCTTGAGCAAGCACAAGGCTTGAGGCTCGAGCAGTTTAAGACTGCAGTACAAAGGCACATAAGCACCTTTTAAGCACACCCTCAAGCCCTGGATACGTAAGACAGTAGAAAGGCTGAAAACATGGAAACCTTTGGAACCGCTCCATGGATGAGAGCATCAAAGCAGAGAAGAGTGACTGTGACTCATGGCTGCGGTAGCTCAGGCCTCATGCAGAGGTACCTGTGGTATCAGGCTTCCCAAGGCAGGGGACACCTTTGCCCTTAACCAGGGAATCACATCAGCACCCAAAGCCTGGGGATATCTAGGCTGGAGAATGTTTTTTGAAGCACAAAGCCAGTCCACAGAGACACTGGTCACAAGGTGGCAAGACTTCTTCATCTCTCTTAGGACATCTGTGCCAAGCTACGCTGTGACATATTATGGACTCTCTCAAAAAAAAGATGCGAAGGCAACAAATGCAAGTTCACGTCAACACTGCTCCTTTCAGGCCTTGTGTCATTTGCTAAGGGGTTTATCCTGCAAAACTTGGAAGAGTTACATGATCAAGGACACTGTTTCTCCTGGCATCACACCATCAAGCTACTAGGAAATGGCCTCCGCAAAACACAACACTGGGAGAGGGCAACAGCGCTGCAGCCCTGGGTATGCGCTGCACCTTTAAAACAAAGCAGGAGTTGGGACATTCTGCCCAACTTCTCTTTCAAACCGAGGGCCCTGAGGAGAAAAAACCCAATGAAGATTCTGTTCACAGTGGAACTGAAGTTCACATAGCTAAGAAACTGTTCTCTCTTAAATGCTCCTGACACCAGGAGGAAAGGACAGAAGAAGCCAGAAGGCTTCAGCTCAAAGAAGGAACAGCACGACAGGAAAGGGAGCAGAAGCAGCAGACTGTTACTAGACTTGTGACCAGAGCATGTAATCAGCCATTGCTGTCAAGTCAGGATCATATCAAGATCAGCTTGGCAAGAACATACAGTCCATATTCCAAGTTGCTCAAAGCCAAGAGAAAGCTTAGGCAAAAAGGCTGTCGTCCCACGGGACATGAGCACAGCAGGGTTTCAGTGCCTCTTTGAGACAAAAAACCAACAGCAGAACCAAAAGCTCTATCTCCTGTGTTAGACCCAAGTATTCCAACCACTCTATCTTTTGCCCTTGAAACAAGGGAAAGCAGCAATGTAAAACTGAATGCTTGGAGCTAGTTAATCCAGCATGGCATCACTGATTAAAACTTTGAACTAGATTCTTTTAAGATATTTATGTGCCTGAAGTGACAGAATCAAAGAAGTCCTGAACAGGACTCGTCGTCAAGGAGTGCTGAGGCAGCCGTTCTTTCTTAAATCCTTTAGAAGATCATGCTATGTATCTGTTTGATTCATTACATGACTATGAATATTCTTTTAAAAGTTAGAGAGAGGAAAACCATTGTGACTGCTACTTTTCTTATCTAATTACAGCCAAGTTCAGCCCTGCTAAACTTACAACTGAGAAACCAGTGTTACCTTTCTGATTTCCAGCTCAGGTCATAGCTGAGGAGTCAGCACTACCACCTCACACAAATGATGTGAGCCCCAGCCTCCTTTTCACTTATCACCAGTATTTTTCCAGTAAATGTGGGGGGTTTTGGCATAAGTTTTGGCCTGTGGTACTATGGCTCGGAGGTCACTGTTCCAGAACACGAAGTTCTTTCTAGAAAAATAGTGTGATGTGAGAGCATCACAGTGCTGTTTCTTTGACACACACTCCACAGTCATTTTTTTTTTTTCTCCTCCAGGTTTTACTCTTCTTTCTTAAGACATGAAGTTGGAGGAACACGCAATATTAAATTGTATGATCCAATAAATGAGGGCTTTGTCCAGACAAGTCGAGATGCAAGTAGGTTTGAAGCACACTGGTGTTGAGTCTTTTGCTGTATTTTCAATGTTTAAAGCATTAGCAAAATAATGTTATGAAAACAGTACAATAATACAACCTCAATTATGAATTAAGCAGAAAGAAACATAGCAGGGAGCACACTAACTTACGAAAACAAACACAAATTTCTATGCAGTACAGCATGACTTAATCAAGCTTATGCAGAAAACAACACAGAGAACTCGCATACATTTTTCTAGCATGTGTACGCAATTTACCTTGAAAACAAATCCTTCTGGACAGGTATGATCATACTTGTAAACCTTGTAGACTACCAGAAATACAACACAGGTTAAGAACGCAAGGGCAAAAAGGACCAGCACAGTTACCTGTAAAGAAAAATAAGACATGCTTATGTTAGTAATGCACTGCTTATTATATTGCTGTTTGTTACTGCAGGCAGCAGGAGCCAGCTATGAATGCACTTTACAGTAAAATCAAGCGAAGGATAAATCCAGCCTCTTAATTATTGAGAGAGAACAGGGAAGCAGCACCTAAGTGCTTCTCCCTCCTGTGCTGCAGAGGTTTTTTTTGGCTCTTTCTGTTCAGTGCACACAGGAGGCCAGAAGGACACACTGAGGTAGCTCGAGTCTGCTGCTTTTATTTGGATGATGTAAGAGTAAGTCTAGTTTATGTCAGCTGGTAAGCACATTTGTTTTCCCAGCGCTTGTCCAAGAACAGAGTCAGGTGACAGTAAGCTAGCGCTAGTGTCATCCAGGTAACACAAAGGTGACACTAGCAGGGCAAGGAGAAAGTAACATCTGCCCTCTTCTTATGACCAGAGTTTGTTGTGTCCTCTATGGATGCAGCGTAGGGATAGTTACACCAGTAGTCTGCATGCCTGGCTGCTCAATGATCCTTAATTTGTAGGTTGTCAGCACTGCTTCACCACACAGAGACAGTACAGAAGTCATTCACTGCCAGATCCATAAGGGACTACACCATGTTCAACACGGGGCTGGCCCTGAGAAGCCCTGCTGCAGCACAAGCCTTTATAGGCTGCATTACACAGCACTGACTTCTCACCGTGTCTTTAAGTATCTCTCTGGTCCCAGATTTGGCCTGGAGGGAAGTTCAAGACACACCTTAAGCTGAATCTGCAGTCAGTGTCAATATCAAGCTAAACTTTCCCAGGAATAAATTCCGAGCAGCTGGAGACCAGCAGCCTTCTAGGTGAGATGGGAGACAGACCTACCTCTAGAATTACCTCATCCATTGACAAGAGAAAGCACAAGACTCTGGCCAAGCAGTTACCCTGCAAAGCTTCCTAATTCAGACATGTTTTTGTGGAAGGTGTGAGCTGAGCAAATAGCATTTATTACTGGCAGAGTGCCCTAGATGTGTGAGTTTTATTATTCTGAAGCTTCACCTGATGAACAAATGAGAACCTCAAGGAGTAAGAATGGCTGTACTATTTTTTTTTTTGCTAAGTTAGAAAGAAGTAAGCATGTGCTCCAGCATAAGAAACAGTAATAAACAGAAACAAACACAATTAAGTGATTGATTTATTAATTACAATATAATATCTAAATTTTAAAGGAAGATGAGTAAGCCTGCTATATACACCTCTTAAAAAAAGAACTCTGGCACATCAGAGTCAATTATGCCAACAAGAATAATCTGGTATTTGAGAAAGCAATGACAAAAAAAAAATGTAGCTTTACATCTTGGAAAAAAACCCCACCACACACTCCCTTTATGATAAACCCCAGAGCTAAGAGGATCTGCAAAGTGTGTGTGGCAGTGGGACTAGATTACTAAAGGACTGAGTGAACTATCAGGGACTTCTTGGGCTGGGGAAGGGAAATTCACCATGGGCAGACAACAGCAGGTGCTAAACTTCCTGCCTGAAACAAGGTCATGGAGCATCAGGCACTGCTGCAGCCAGGGCTTTTATAAGGACTTTTGTTAAGCAAAAACAGGAGGGCCAGGGGAGAGGAGAGATGGGGAACTGCAGATCAGAAAGCAATTTAGCTGAAGAAGCATAGATATTAATGTAACAATGCCAATCAAAATGAGACAGAGAGAAAAGGTTTCTGGTTAATAAGCAACATCTTCAGTTTCTCAGAATAGTCACTGGATTACCAAAAACAAAATTTAAAAAAAAAAACAATATGTTCTTAATCACCCTTTGAAAACCTCACACTGACATCAATTTTCAAATCCAGTTAGTCTTTCCCCAAGTTTATGACTCATTTGCATACACAAAGGTTAACATGGATCACTCTGTCTTGCCAAACTTGTATTTTCTGCTCACATGTTCCATGTCTCAGTATGTCCTGTGTGAATCCAAGAGATAAAGCACATTTCTCTTTCTGGTCATTCTTTGTGGCCCAGTGATATAATGAACAACACAACCCCTCCATTCCCAGCTCAGCCCTTCTCATGTGTTTTTAATCCAGCCTCTCCCTTCTTTCTGCTCTGGTTGGTTGGGGTCCCTTCCCGGGTTTCCTCAGCCATCCCACCCACCCATGTGTACAAAGCCCTTGACGCTTCGTCTTGACCCCAACCTTGCATCCCACCTTCCAGTGTTTTCCCTTCCCCAAAACTGCAGTAAGCCTTACTCTCCATTCTCCCCTCAAAATTTTCCTTGCACTTCAGGCTCTGGAATAACTGACCTTGCTCCCCCTAAGCTTGCAGCTCCTGCTTGGGGCTCCCTGTCCCACCTCCCTAACGCCTTGCAGGTACCTCCTCTAAGCCCCATGCACTGCCCATGTCACGCTGTTCCAGGGTGCAGATGCCCAGGGTCCACCTGCCCCACCAGGCCAAGGGCCCAAAGCCACTTTCCCTCACCAAGCTCCAGCTGCTGCTGGGCAGCACAGGAAGATGAGGGACCAGAATGGCTGGAACACTCCTGGCCCAGCCCAGCAGCCCTACAACATACATGCAGCCCAGTCCGAGTGGCAGGAGTTCCCGCTGACTCAAAGCGCATGTTACACCGTTCCTTTTTGCTCTGGCAGTCACTGCTTTCTCCCTTAGAGAAGAAACAGAAAAGACAGGCTAGAAAGTAGGGATAGGAAAGACAAAATCCAGATGGGATTTTTGCTGAGGCTTCCCCTGCCCTGCAAGACGGATTCCACAGGCCTTTGACAAGGGCTTCTCTCTCTAGGGGCAGGGACCTGTGACACAGATGCCAGGCAGAACAATTGATATGGTACAGATCGATTCAGCTCACCTCCACAGATAGCAGTAAACAATTTAAAATGCTTTGAAAAAATACTCTCAAATCTCAAAACACTTTAAGCATAGTCCCTGCTCATCCTACTAGCAGGGAATATAATTATTTCCCAGTCATAACCATTTCAACATACAGATGAGGCCTCAGGAACATATTGTAAAGCAAACAAGCTATTTTGTACTGGAGACCAAGTATTAGACAATAGAAAAATACTTGTATTTCCACAATCACTGTAGGCTCACTCTCTCCAAGGCTCTGAAACTGTTCAGGAAAGTAATTAAGTTTTCTGAAAGGGGTCAAAAGCCCAGCATTGAGCGGATTGCTGGAGCCTGGCAAGTTGCAGAGCAACAACCTCAGGGCTCATTTGCTGAGACATGGAGCGTTTTACCTGTTTCAGCAGCCTACACGGAGCTGTGAGTTCTCACAGCTCGTACAAGCCACATCCAGCACAGTTCTTCCATTGCCATACAGCAAGCCACTGGGAAGATCTCTTAGGGCTCCTGGTTCATAATTCTCACAGAATCTTTCTCTCACTCTATTTCCTAATGCTATTAATTTTAGTATTAACATGTAAATTTTTTACTCTCATTATCTGCAATAATTTGCAATCACACTCCATTTGCAAATCCTTAATCAAGTAAGCTCTTGTCTCCTTCCTATTAGAAGTTTCCTTCTCTTACCATCCTTCATGATACAACTTCTATTTAAGTAAAGGACAACCACACGTGAGCAACACAGATGGAAAGTGGATTCCAAGGTGCTTGTAATCACCTGTTCATCCAATCTACTTCTCCCTTATAAACTGAGAATCCTTTTCTTCCTTCTAATAGTAGCTGTTCTCCTTCACCCTCATAATAACCCACTGCTGATGGTCCACAATTGTCAGCTCCCCAGGTCCACTTCTTAAGCCAAGGCAGTCGCCGTCTCACCCCAACCATAACACAGCGTGACGCCACCTCTCTGCCTCACCTTCTGAGCCCTCTCCTCCCAGACGCCTTTCACAAATAAAAGCATGGGAAGAGGGAAGACAATATGCTGCTCTGTAGACCACAAGCACTACCCAAGCAGTCATTTTATTGCTTTTTTCCACAGCAACTTTGCACACTCACTATAAACTAAAAGTTACTCTCTCCTTCCTACGAAGGCGTTAGCAGCAACTTGCCCTCTGCCTCTGTTGGAGGTAGGAGAGGACACACTGCCCACACAAGCACCACTCCCAATCTTCTGGAAGGAGATCTCAAATCTCTTGTCCATGCAGTCGCCAGCTGGCTGAGCACAGAACCCCACACAGAGGGAGCAGAATTGTTTTGAATTACTGTGGTCATTTACAGCCATGCACATCCTGCAGAACGCCAAGGTGACTGCCACCACGTGAGTGATGGGCTTTTAAAATACTTATGAAATAACTACAAGATAGCAAAAACAACAGTTTCTTTTAACTAGGAATTCAAAGTGTGGTTTTGTTTTCATCTTGAAAGTGTCCTTTGAAGTTGGTTTTACAGGGATCTGGCAGTAAAACTAAATGAACATAAAAGATGACAAGATATTATGTATGTGGCATATTTTTGAATGGATTGTAAGTGAAGAGCAGAAGAAGGACAACGTCTAGCCAGAAGCCATTACAGTAATCGAAATGAGAGATGACTAATGAATGAACTAAGTGTACCCACAGCAAAAAAATCCCAAACCCTGTCTTCAGACTCTGTAATCATTTAGACGAAAAAAAAAAAGGAAACTCACCAGATCTGACAACTACACTAACACATAAACAGCTTATGGTAATGCCTTACCACCAAGATCTGCTAGATCTTCCCAGTCAGCTACAGCTGCAAAACACTGCAAGCTGGATTTTCTCTGCTTGGCTGCTGCAGTCTCCTCCTTCCTCACTTTGCTAAAATCTACTGTGCTCCCTTCTTAATCAAGACAGAATTTACAAAATTCATCAATTGCACCAACTGCACCCACTTCTCTTCACATCCCTTCCTGGCTCCTGTCCTTTTCTGAACAAATTACAAGCCACATTTCAAGCCGTGGACAAGGCCACGCCTTTTGCTCCTCTTAGCCCTATCTCCTTTCATTCTGCCTGTATCCCACTGTCCCACTAAAGCCTGGGTGCCATCTGGTTTTCCTCACCTCCACCTTTCTTGTCAC